GAAAGGAAGTGGGCAAAGCAATCCTAATGAGAGGGCTGGAGAGACATGGAGCGGTATCAGAAGTCCTACTGGTTCTTGCTAGCAAGGCAGAAGGTCTGTGAGGTTTTATTTCACTATTCCATCTCCAGGCTGGCATAGGTGAAAGGTTGAAACATTGTGGGGCTTTAGGATCCAGTGCATTCAAGACCTCTGGCACCTTGTGGCCCACCTAGCTACATTCATTCTGGGGGCCTTTCTGCTGGTTACTACCAGCAATAACTTAGAACAAGCTGGGACCTCCACTTCAGTGGTGCCCTCCCAAGCCCAGTGGCTCTCCTTTCCACCAGCAGTGAGTGTGGCACACAAGAGCCTAACCCCACTCCCTATCCATCCATCCACATCCAGGGTGTGTGTTGGACTATAGCCTAAGCCATCATTGCAGACCTCACCGAAAAGGAAAATTAAAAAATCCTACTACACTCTAGGAACAAAAGTCATTAATAAGAATGATTATCTAAAGACCAGTTTTAATACTCTTGCATTGTGCGATTTATGCTTTTATTCAGTACAGCCAGAGATCTAATGGAACAAAATATTTTTCCGTATTTTTTTCTATCTAATCTTGTTAAAAGGTGGAAAAAATAGTGACAAGAATACATTAATTCTAGAAAAGTAAATATTGAGACATACTGTTGAAAAACATGACAAAGTGATTTAAACCAGTAATATAATTTCAAAGTGAAGATCATTATCTCTTCTTTAAATGCAAACTTAAGGTGATGGACTTCCATAGACGTATCACTAAATTTGGGGTGGGGGGAAGCAGCATTGGAATGCTTTATTTTTCTGTGGCTATCATGAGAAACTTGAATACTTTAAAAAATGTACAGTCACAAACTGATTATAAAATTCCTATGAGAAACTGTAGCAGGGCATCATAACTTAACTATAGAAGTGTGACTCATTGCAGGAAGTGGTCGTATAATAATCTTTTCTGGTATTTACAGGACCATGGGGATAAAATGTCATCTAGTTGTACAGAATTACCCCTCCCCCTCCAAAAAAGGGGGGGAAAACGGGGGGGGGGGCAGGCAAGGTGTGTGAAGTATGCCCAAACTAATGATCTGTTTTCTGTGCTCTTGAACGTTGAATGAATTCTGTAATTAATGTATTACGAAGTGTTGGGAATATGCTTAAGCTATTAGTACAGTGCAGTCCTGTATGTCTGCTCAGAAGTAAATCCAATTGAATTCTGTCGGGCTTACTCCTAGGAAACTGGGTATAGGATTGCAGCCTTAATCTTCCAAAAGGAAGATTAGTTATATATGACACAATATTTTTTTAAAAAAATGTGTTGAAGTCAGGCTTTCAAATACTGTCTCTGGGTTGGCCAGGGAAGCGCAGGATAAAGCATACATGTTCTTCCTATTTGTATGTACTTCTGTCAAGTTCTAGTGCAAACCAGGAACTTTAATTATGGCATTTTATTTGGAAGTTCCATCTTACCTACTCTTAAATTTTAAATTGACTAAAAATGATCTGTGTGTGAGCAGTCCTGCTGTTCTGTCCATCTTACTTGGAACATAGCGTAAACGCCCTACAAGTCTGGGATGCTTGTCCGAACTTTTGCTTTGTTACCTGCCATCACTTCCATTTTCTATGCATGACCTTTTGGGTTTTTCGCTTTTGTGCAGCCACGTTGGCCTATTCAGAGCGCTCTGATTTTTATTTTGTTGGAATTGTTTATAGTTGCCACTTAGGCACTCATACATAGAAACTCCCACCCATCTTGGGCTCCTTTTCCCATTACTGTAGCTAGCTATAGAATACCGTTCCTCTGGGCTTTCCTGAAATCCAAGGTACATATTTAACTTTAGATACCTTCTATTAAGAACAGACAAAATTATTTTTCTTTTCCAATCTTAGTGCTAAGCAGCGGAGAGATAATGCCTGCCTGTTTAAGAGTAAAAGGCAGCATTTCCACTTGCCCCTGCTCTGAAGCAGGGGTGTGGAGAAACGCTGTCTTTGCTTTTCACAGATCATAATGTTCAAAGTAAAAAGGCAGTGTTCCCACCCACCTTCACCTCCGGGCTCGAGTGGGAAGGGCTGGTTGTATGTATGCATGTGCACCTGTGTTTACGTATGTTTGTGTGTGACAGTGTATGCATGTGTGTGTGATTGAGTGCTGTGGGCCTGGTTGTCTCGTGTGTGTGTCCTGTATGTGTGAGGTCACTACGTGTAATGTATACATAGCATATGTGTACATGCACACATACATCCACCACATCTACCACTGACCTGTAGCCTCAAAGGTATACCTGACCATCTTTAGGGTCAAAAGAGTTTAGCCACCCTTGCTCTGGGGAGATGTGCCTGTTCTTAAGCTTCACGTACTAGGGGCTCCTGCCCCTCCTCTCATGCCACCCTCACCTCTTTGCCACCCCCTCCCTTAAAGGTAAAGGGACCCCTGACTGTTAGGTCCAGTCGCGGATGACTCTGGGGTTGTGGCGCTCATCTCTCTTTACTGGCCGAGAGAGCCGGCGTACAGCTTCCGGGTCATGTGGCCAGCATGAGTAAGCCGCTTCTGGCCAACCAAAGCAGCACATGGAAACGCCGTTTACCTTCCCGCCGGAGCGGTACCTATTTATCTACTTGCATTTCGTGCTTTCGAACTGCTAGGTTGGCAGGAGCAGGGACAGAGCAACGGGAGCTCACCCCATGGCGGGGATTTGAACTGCCGATCTTCCAAACAGCAAGCCCTAGGCTCTGTGGTGTAACCCACAGCACCACCCGCGTTTCTACCCCCTCCCTTAATCTCACCCAACTCCCCTCCATCCCTTCACAGATCCTTAAACCCTGCCCTGGTAGACAGAGGAGAGATGGGGGGAGGGACATGGGAAGAACTGCACAGGCCTCCCACTTGCCCACTCACTGCCAGCCGGCTCACGAGTTGTCTCCCATAAGCAATCAGCAATGGTAGCAACAGGGAGAGTGCTTGCCTGTCATGGCATCTCCCCACTGTCCTGCCTTGTTGTCACTTTCTTCATCCTTGGCCAAAAGCGGCAGCGACACAATGACAACAGATCAGGATGGTTGATGGGGAACTACCCTGCCCTGTCCTGGCTGTTCCTCTGCAGTTCATCTGGGTCACCCACGCCGCTTGCTTGCTTACCTACCTGTCTCTGCCTCCTGCCTGCTGTTCCGTCATCACACTGAAGTTGGCATGGCCACCTATCAGCGGCCCTGCAAACTGCAACATGATGACATATTTTGTTACAAAAACATAGTAAGAAAATGGGAAAACGGGTTTGATAAGATTGAATAGCAGAGCATAAAAGCCATATAAATATGTGATCCACATGAGAACAACTCTGTTTTTCACTATAGTGAATCTATTTTCTGTATCTATATTCTGCTGGGGTTCTCTTTTAGCAAATTACCTTTCAGCTGTTTCGTCAATTATGCTATATTAAAACAAAGCATCAGGCCAGTAGAACAGAGCTGTTGATAAATGGCAGAGCATGTGAAATTACCAAAGCAGAACATCTCCATATGCAATATTGGTATCACTTAGTGAAGTAAGCTGGAAAAAAGAAGTGCAAAACCTGTTATTATTCAGCAATTGCAACTTGAGGATTGCTTCTCTTGAGTTGTTTTTAGCACAAGTTGACTTTTTTAAGTCAGTCTTTTCAGAAATACATGCGCATTATGGCATTGTGAGCAACTCAATTCCATGTCTCCAGGTCAGTTCATGTTCTTTAATTGCCTAGTTTGTGAAATACATTTTAAAAATACAGTTAATATGCATGTACTATTGGATTGGCAGTCCTAGGAAAATGCTTAAATTAATATGTGTAATCTGGACACAGGAACTTGTTAATAATTAACTTTTCATAGTAGCATCTAGGAGTGTCCTAGAAAGTTATCTACTTACTCTTTTATACAATATATTTAGTTCTTTATAAGTATCCCTCACAAGGCAATGCACAAGTAGAACTATAGAACTGCAGGAAATGTATGACACATTATCTTAAGGAAGCTCAATATTACAAAGCTAAGTTTATAAGGCCATCTTGAATCCTAGTACTGTAGAGACCAAATGAATGTTAATTAGAAGAGAATTCCTCAGCTGCAGTGTTACCAATGAGAAGACCCTGTCTTGGATGCTCAGCATCTTAACCTATTACATGGATGGACACCTGAGCAGGATATCTGGTGCAGATCTTGGAATACAGTACAGGTGATTCTAAAACTCAAGAGAAGGGAACTTCTGGTTTGTGGACCAAACTATACCTGCCAGCAATCCTAATTTGACATGTGAGACTGGTTTTCCCCAGTCACACCCACTTACCCCACACCAGATGTCATAATGATATCAAGCAGCTGGCAGGTAGGCAGCCCCACTTACCTGTCAAAAGTGGACCACAGAGGGTGGACCACTTCTGCATCTCACTTGGCAGCCAAATCCAGTTGCCCGCCCTTTCTTAAGGTAATTGTGTTCCACACTGTTTAATGCCTTGAAGGTTAATACCAGTGCTTTGTGTAACCACCATAGTTGTCAGTGCAAAAATATTATCGTGCTCAAACCTTCTGGTCTCATTAGCATCCTGACAGCTGCATTTTGCATCAGTCGAAGTTTCCAAGCCTCATTCAGACGACACTCCACATAGAGCAGATTGCAGTGGTCCTGTTGGGACTATTGTGGCCAATAGCAAATTGTTTGACCTACCACAGCGATCAAACATGACCTCTGAATGGTGAAGTTTCTTTTCCACTTCTTTTGGAAGTTAAGACATCTTCAAGGGTGTGGACTGATGGCAAATGGTTTTTCTGTGAGTTATGTTTTCCATTTAGGAACCTAAGGACTGCTGATGTTGATCTCAAAATGCAAATATACGCATAATGTTTGGGTAAATACGATCAACAATTTAAAGGTTAATAAGCAGAGATGGATGCTAAACTTTAATTCCCCCCTGCACTATTAAGTAAAATAACAAGGTTATTATTTTTCTACCTCTCAGTGTATTCTTGATATGACATTTGGAGCAGGAGGCCATACCAAGGCGCTTATGCAAGAGGCAGCAGATATTAAAATATATGCTCTTGACAGAGATCCCACAGCCTATCAACTAGCTCAGCGGCTTTCTGAATCTCACCCGTGAGTACAATTCATTTCAGGTCTAATATGTTAATAGCATAAGAGTGTGCACACATGCATGTGTTTGCATGACCCCTGGGGGCCTTTCCAACTCTGAAACTCTTTGGTTCTATGATAATAAAATAAAATTAACGATACAAATTTACACCAGATAGTTTCCTCTGGTAGAATATATATACATTACAGGTAGAATTTTGAAAGCAGAATTACATGCCCCAACTTGCATGTGTGTGTGTGTGTGTGTGTGTGTGTGTGTGTGCGCGCGCGCTTGCTTTTGTGTATGTGTGTGTGTGCGTGCGCGCCTATATACAGTATAATTTGAATTTAGTGCCTTGAGTTACTGTTGTTACAGCCATGTATACTTCAGCTAATCACCACCGTGGGAGTCTTTAGGTTGAAGGTCAATTTTTAAAATGCAATAAATAATTTATAAGTTTTGTAAAATAAGTATATTACTTTTATTATTTATTGATTTATTAATCACCTCTACAACTGTCTCAAGGCCGTGTACACTGGAAAAAACATAAACAAAACAAAAAACTAGCAAATGCAATTAAAACAAAAAGGAAACCAAGCAAATAGATGCTCATGGCAAAGTTCCATGTATCCAGTTGGGAAAGCCTGTAAATATGTATTTGGTTGTTTCTGGAATGTGCAGACAGTGGCCGCCTGTTGTGTCTCAACAGGAATGATATTCCACAAAACAAGAGCAGCCACGCTAAAAGCCCTGCTCCAATTTACTGCAGTGTGAGCTTCTGAGGTCTTTGGAAGCTACAGGAGGAGCTCTCCTGCAAAGTGAAGAGCAACTCCACAAAAGTTCTTTCTTCCCCTTCTGTTGTACTGGAAATATAAGGGATAACTTGTTGTCTTAAGTAACCTGGTCCTGATCTCTAGAGGGCCTCATGTGTTATTACCAACACTTTGAATTTGGCCTGGTAGCAGATTGGCAGCCACTGCAAATCCTGCAAGTAGGGTATTATATACTGTCAGAAACTGAGATATGAAAGCTAGGAGCTAAATGGCACCTTAAACCTAGGTTATGGGCACAACAACGGAATGTCTAGGCTCGCTTTTTTATAACAAAAATACAAAGCTGAAAATGAATGAACTGCAGCTAAAATATTACGTTAATTTTTTCACATGGTCTAGTCCTTCCCCTGCCCACCCCACTAATATTCTTAAGAGGGTCTCTTCTTCAGTCTTCAGAGAATAGCTGGAAGTGAGGAGGCAGGAAAAGGTCCTCCTTTCCTTCTACTCCACAGTTTTAATCTGAAGTGTTAGGCACAGTACTGTGCCCAGAGCTCAGAAACTGCTCGCGCTAATGAAATTCCCAGTCGCAAAATGCCCCTAGAACAATGGGAACACTGTATACTGGCAGTAGTTTGTCCCCAGAGGCAACCTAGCCCACCGCATTCTACACTAGCTGCAGCCTCTGGACCAGATCCAAAGATAATCCGACATAGAGCACATTGCAATAATCCAGTCATGAGGTTACCAATGCATGGACAACCATGGTCAAGCTATCCTGATCCAGGAATGGCCATAAAAGGCACTCCTAACCATTAATGATACCTGAGCCTCCAGTGACAGCTGGAGCCAAGAGCAACCTCAAACGATGCACTTGCACCTTCAGAGAGAGTATAACCCCATCCAGGGAAGGCAACTTACTGACTTCCTAGACCTAGGAATCACTCACCTGCAGAGCCTGTGTCTTGCTAGGATTCATCCACCCCACCCCACCACTGATTCCAGGCACTGGTTCAGGGCCTTCCAAGTCAGTCCCAGTTCCGATTTTTCAGAAAAAAGAGAGTTGGGTATCATCAGCATACCTTGGAGAGGGTGCTTAAGGATCATATGTATGGCCCTCCACATCTCGCTGTTCCCCAAAGTATTATATAATACATACATAATGTTATTTGTATGCATAATACATACATAATGTTATTTGTATGTGCATTTTAAATTGTATGCTGCCTTTCCATAGTTAAACCATGCTTAAGGTGGCTTACAACATGAAAAAAATGAAAAATTGCAACATAAAAAAACATCAAAAAGTACACAACCAAACCAAACAATTTCCACATAATCCATAATAAGATCTAAAATAAAGATACAAACAAGTAATATCAAAAACTGCAACAACCCCGCCCCCAACGAAAACCTCTAAACAATTCCCCAACCCAAGTGTTTCTTCAGTAGCCTCAGCTTTATATGGAGTCAGTCAGGGCCTGCAAGGTAGAAAGCAGGTCTTCCAGGTCTCACAGCCAAAATCAGCTGCAGACTATAAGTCTCTAGGGAAGGACCACTCTAATGAGTGCCCACCCCACCCCAAAGGGGAAGCTTACACTATCAGAGGCAAGTCATTAATCTAGTACAGGGGTCAGCAATCTTTTTCAGCCGTGGGCCAGTCGACAGTCCCTCATACCGTCCCTCAGACCTATATGCAGAGGGGCGGGGGGAGGAATGAATGAATTCCTATGCCCTACAAATAACCCAGAGATGCATTTTAAATAATAGCACACATTCTACTCATGTAGAAACACCAGGCAGGCCCCACAAATAACCCAGAGATGCATTTTAAATAAAAGGACACATTCTACTCATGTAAAAACATGCTGATTCCCGGACCGTCCATGAGCCGGATTGAGAAGGCGATTGGGCCTCATCTGGCCCACAGGCCTTAGGTTGCCTACCCCTGATCTAGTACAGCCATACCTTGGTTGATGAACACCTTAGCAGTCGAACGTTTTGGCTCCCGAACGCCGCAAACCCAGAAGTGAGTGTTCCGGTTTGCAAACGTTCTTTTGGAAGCCAAACGTCTGGCGGGGCTTCTTCAGCTTCCAATTGGCTGTATAGGTCAGGACCCACCTGTACCCAGACTCTGAACACAAGATTTCCCTCGAAGAGAAGTAGTAGGACCTTACTCCCACAACTCCACCCCAGATGGCCCCTGCCCAAGCTTCAGGCCAGCAGATGCAGGCCTCTAGTCGGTGTCTGCTCTCACTGCTCAGATTCTGTCTAGTCTCGGACTTCTTGCTCAAAAACCTGTGTTAGCTGTTGATTTTCCCATCTTTTGAGAATGGCAGAGTCATATAGCATACTGTTTACAACCAAATTGGTTATTAATGCTGTATGTGGATTTGTTACGACATGGAATGCTTTGGGTTTTTCCTGGAGTTTAAAGACTCATAATTTTTGAGCAAGCTTAGCCCTTCTTCTTTTTTTCTAGCTGTGGTCTTCATTAAAGATGCAGTGCTGTTTTAATAAGAAAAGGAAATGGGTCAGGCCCTATTAGGTATTCAGTGTGTGGGTAGGAATCCTTTGACGTGCATTCGGGGGAAGCCTACAAGTTCGGAATTGCTGCAAAGATTCCAGAGCAAAATAGAATTCTGTCAGTTGCAATATATATTACAAATAAACCCTCTTACAGCCACTGAAAGTGAAAGGTTACAAAAGGTGCCTGCAATCTAGCACTTATGTTAGTATCATTGCAAACTTGAAAGGATGAGAAACCTACGCAGATCCTACACAGTGGAGTCAAGTTGTTATAATATACTCAGTTGGAAATGAAATCATACCTTAGATGAAGGAGGAAATAAATTCATCACATATATTGACTGCCTAAAATGTGTGTGCTTTGGTTCAAGGTGAAATTAAGTTTACTGCAACAAAATGAATTCTGATTTGTGTGTGTGTAAAATTTAGAATACAAACCCAGACACGCAAGAGGGAACACCTACAATTCAACTTTGTGCCTCTCTATGTGCATGTTCAGTACATTGGCTTTTGAAATCTTTATGTGGCCTCAGTTTGGAAGAAATAATTGCAGGCCAGATGTCTACATTGTGCAGAACTGTCTCTTTAGCTTGTCGCCTAGTAATACTTGTCTTTCAAAACTGGTTTGTGTATTTGACCTTACAAATCATTGTGTGAATAACCAGGAAGAAAGCCTTGAGGGGTGCATCGCAATTTTAATCATTTCTAAAAGAAAGGGCCATGGGTCAGAGGTGGTACTACCTCGGTCTTTCAGCCAAGCAGGCAAGAAACTTTATCTGAATTCAAGGACATATTCCAACCAGGCAGAAACATGCAAGGGGGCACAAAGCAGGGCCAGTAAGGGGCATGGCCTGGGGTGAGTCCAAACAGCAAGATAGGGAAGTCTGGAAAACAGCTGGAGACCCAAGTTTGGGAAGAACTAGTTCAATAAATAATATATGCAACCTTTCCCCCACCCCCCATGCAATCCAAATTAGGAGGAACTAGGATGCATGCATTTTTTCCTGGGCACCTATCCCCTGCCCCCCAAATAATGGCTGTACCAAAGTTTAGAACTTGTTTATATTATGGAAGTAACTCTGGATATAATGTTAGTTTATTTGCAGGGCTGTTCAAGGTTTTTTCCTCATCATCTTGAAATTGCCTTTTTCTTTCCTTCTTTGAGTAACTCTTGGAGAAACACTGCAAAATGACTATATAGTACTGCGTTGTGAATCATGCAAGCCTCTTTAAAAAATCCAATTTATATCAAATTTTCCTGTTGGTTGTAGTAGTGGAATTTGACAGCGATTTATGCTGCCATCAGCCAGAACTTACAAGACTGAGGTTTAATGTAATCAGATCTGCCTCTCTCTTGCTAGAGGTACCCTATAGAACCCTGAGAATACTGAATTACTTTGTAAGAGGTCCTATAGCTCTGTATCAGAACATGGTTTCCCAGTTTCTGAAGAGAAGAGGCGGAATTACCTCAACTAGTATAGATACTCGTGACCAAACATATATATTGCACTTTGTGATACTTTGTTTCTTAGTGCTAGTTTTCAAATTATTTATTTGTTTGGAGCTCTTTGCAAGTCAGAGAATTATAACCTATCAGCTTTAAAAATAATTGGCTTACTAGATTCTAGTCCTGCTAAACAATTATATCTCAGCTTAATAAACTGAGATACGAACACACCTTTTTTTCCATGCACACATCCCCTTTGTTCTTCCCTTCAAACCAG